GGGGGAGGGGGAGGGGGGAGAGTGGAAGGAGGAGGATTCTGTGCTGGTCAGGAAGGTTTCTGCCCGGGGTGGGGGTCTGGGGGTGGGGGTCTCCCGGTCCTAGGTGGGCTAAGGTGGGTCTGGGAGAGAGGGTACAGTCATTGCTCTGCTTCTGAGGTCACCGTGCTACTCCCTGCCCCGTTGGAAAGTCCATTTCCAGAGAGATGGCCCATGAGGGCACTCTTCGCTTCCCTGGGCATGAACCCAAAGGCCAGGGCGGCAGTGGAGGCTGAGACTATCTGCAGAACTGGGCTTTGCAGGGTGGGGGATCGTGGGATTCGGTGGGGGGGGATGGTGGGGTTCAGGGGGAGAGGTGGTATTGGAACTCTGCATGCAGGAAGCTGTAGGGGTTAGCCAGAATTCATGGTGCTAGAATCAGAGGAAAGAAAAGAAAAGTTTCCAAAGAGCCAAGAGGCTGGAGAGAGAGTTCTAGCAAGTTTGGCTCCTGCCTTGCATGCAACTCACCCAGGATTGACTCCCTGCTCAGCCAGGAGTGACTCCTGAGAGCAGAGCCACGAGTAAGCCCTGAGCACAGCTGAGGATAGCCCCAAAACCAAACAAGAGGGCAAAAAAAAAAAAAGCCGAAGGTGTTGGCAGATTTCAGAGAAAGGGGCCTGTGGGGAGGAGAAGGCAAAGGGGAATCCCCTGGCCGGGGGCCTGCCCACAGAACTCCCCTCAGTGGTTGCTATGAAAACGGGCATAATAGGAACACAACACAGGCACTGTTGCCTGGCAACCAAGGAGCCCAAGGTTCAGCACACACAGATGACACGTATATATCAGGGAACCCCGGGAGGGAGGGCGTGGCCTTTGTGGGGAAGCTGGGGTATCCCGCGGATGACGAGTCCTCTTGGGAGTGTGGGGGCTGACAGCCGAAGCCTGGAGCCTTGGAAAAGACAAGAGTTTTTCTTTGCAACGTTAGGACTGAACGGGCTGGTTCCAAGCAGTAACTTGTGTGTGCGTGTGTGTCTCTGTGTGTCTGTGCCTCTCTGTGCGTGTATATGCGCGCGTATGCATGCATGGGGGCAGCGTTGGTGATGGGAGGTGCCATGGGGTGTCCCAGACTGGCTTGAGAGAGGAGGTTCCTTCGGGACCCCAGCACAGCGGGGGTCCCCAGTGACCCCCAACTCACCAAATCCTGAGCAGTGCCCCTCCCCACCAGCTCCGCGGAAACCCCCAGCCGGGTCCCGCTGGAGGGTCCCCAAACCAAAGAAAAAAAGATCTAGAAAAGGTAGACCGGGGGCTGAAGCGATAGCACAGCGGGTAGGGCATTTGCCTTGCACGTGGCCAACCCAGGTTCGATTCCCAGCATCCCATATGGTCCCCGGAGCACCGCCAGGAGTAATTCCTGAGTGCAGAGCCAGGAGTAACCCCTGTGCATTGCCGGGTGTGACCCAAAAAAGAAAAAAAAAAGGTAGACCGGGAAAGCGGCCGATTTTTCCAAAGCATAGGGACCAGGCCCCCTCCCTCCCCCACTGTGCCAGGTTAGGGACCAGCAAAGGCCTTTCCGCACTCACCTTGAAGGAATGGACAGCGCACCCACCTGCTGCCTCCGCCTCCAGGGCGTCCCCAGCCCCGAGTTGGACTTAAGTGCTGGAAACGTGTGTGCAGTCCGGGAGCCCCATAAAGTGGCGGTTGTGAGGGACGGGACTATTCTCTGAGCGCAGGAGGGGATGTTCTGACTTCCTTACAAGCCGTGAGGGTGGGGATCAGGGAGGGTGAGATTGTGCAGGTGCAGGAGGCGCTTGGGAAAAGAATGAACTTTGGGTCCAGTCGCAGCTGCGTTTCATTCATTGGTGTCCCAGCCCTGCTCCTGACTCGTTGTAGAGAGCAGAGGGCAACACATTCCCACCAATATTGGAGGAGGAGGAAGAGGAGGAGGAGGAGACTTGGCAGAAATTCCCAGAAGTGTGTTTCCTCAGGACGGGGAGAGAGGACAGCCGGTAGGGCACTCATCTCGCACACAGCCAGCAGATGAGGGTTCCATCCCTCACATTACATTTGAGCCCTGTCAAAAGTGATCCCCGACCACAGAGCCAGAAGTCAGCTCTGGGCACCACCTGGTGTGGTCTAACCACCACCTCCTCGAATTAAAAAAAAAAAAAGTGTTTCCAGTTACACCATTGACATCCTTTGCAAATATTCCCTTCCCCTGGACTGAAGAGGCTGACCCATGGACCCGCTCTCTGACCCCAGTTCTCTGATCTTGCTTTGTCATTTTTTTTTTTTTTGCTTTTCGGGTCACACCAAGCGATGCTCAGGGGTTATTCCTGGCTCTGCACTCAGGAATTACTCCTGGAGGTGCTTGGGGGACCATATGGGATGCCGGGGATCGAACCCAGGTCGGCCGCGTGCAAGGCAAACGCCCTACCCTCTGTGCTATCGCTCAGGCCCGCTTTGTCATTTTTTAATTCTTTTGTAGAACCCAGAGCCTCCCCCCATGCAAGGCAAGTGGTTGGCCTCTGAGCGGCTTCAGTCCTACACGTGGTTTCTGGGGGGGCAGAGGTGTCCAAGTTATCCTTCTCCAGGCGCTCTGCCAGAAAGGGTCCAGGAACCGGGCCCAGGCCACACCCCCTGGCGCATCTTCACAATTTCACTCTGAACCAACTGTACCAAGTGCCCAGCCAGTGACAGTTCTCTGAGGCTTCTCCATCCCAGTTGACCAGAAGGGTGTCCACAGCCAACAGGGGGGCAGATAAGGGGGCTGATGCAGGCCTGCCCAGGGCCCAGCCCACTGTGCAAGTCCCTCCCTCCAGGTTTCATTTCTGGGGCCCTTTGGGGGAGCTCACCCTCCATCTTCGTGATTTCTGTCATATCAGAGTGCTTTCCTGAAAACCGTGTGTAAATCAACTCCCCGGGTAATGTGCACTGGGATCCGTACACTTTCAAGGAAAGAAATGATTCATAGTCACAAAACCCTTTGGTAAACTGTTTGTCTTGGTTGCTTTGGTTATTTTCGGGAGGAGGAAGTATACTTCCCCCGCCTGCCCCCCCTTTAAATCATCCTACCTGTATCATTATTTGCATTCTTGGCTATGGGGGGAGGGATTGATCTTTAAAAGGTGCCAGCAAAGATGATTTGATTTGTAAGCTTGCGGGCCTACACCCTTGATTTGGGGCTCGCTCTTGGTCCATATTTAAAAAGCTGAAGGACTGGGGCTGGAGAGATAGCACAGTGGGTAGGGCGTTTGCCTTGCACGTGGCCGACCTGGGTTCGATTCCCAGCATCCCATACGGTCCCCTGAGCACCGCCAGGGGTAATTCCTGAGCACAGAGCCAGGAGTGACCCCTGTGCATTGCCGGGTGTGACCCAAAAAGAAAAAAAAAAGTGCTGAAGGACTGATTCGCAAGGAAATACAAATAAAAAGGAAAACAATTCAAACAAAACGAAGAGCTCCTGGTTCTTATTTGTTGGAAAGCGGAAAAGTTTGGGATTCTGAAAATCTGGTGGCTGGTATAGAAAATGTATAGAAAAGGAGGAGGGGCTGCGAATCTTAAAGTCTGCATCTGGGAGTGTGTCTGCTGTACCTCTGAGTTGCTTATCTGGCGATATGTGTGTGTGTGTGTGTGTGTGTGTGTGTGTGAGAGAGAGAGAGAGAGAGACATAGAGTTGGTGCCCCGTCAGCCTCGTCTGTCTCCGCATGTCTCTGCCTGTCCGCCTGTCTGCACACACGTCTCCGCCTTCCGCCTTCCCGTGTACATGAGGTGCGCGTCTGTAGGTCTGGCGCTCCCTCTCTGCCCCTTCACTTCCCTCCCCCATGGCCTGTACCCTATGCTGGTAACTGGACCTGGGACACAGCCCCCAGGCTGGCAGCAGAGTTGGCTGCTGGGTATTTTTAGCCTGTAAACATGTTGTTTGCCATTTCGGAGGACAGGGCGCTGGTCAGAGCCACGGCCCACTCAGCGTCTCACCGCCGCCGGGAGGGTGCCCCTGTCTGGGCAGGGGCTGGGGGCTCCTTCCAAGGGAGGCCTGGATGGCTGGGGGGGCTGGGGAAGGGGTGTTTCCTGGCAGGGAGGATGCATGACCGAGAAGGGAAGGTGGGGGTGGACGGGGGTGTGTAGCCAGAAGGGCTGGGAACCCCATCATTAGGCGGTTAATAAAGTCTCCGGGTAGTTAGAAGTGGCTGTGGGAAATGACTGTAAATTTGGAAACTGGCATCCTGGAGTGGGGAGGTGCAGCACGCTGCGGAGGGGGTCTCAGAGGGGCGGAGGGGAGGAGGACTTCGCGCTCTCTCTAGGAGAAGTGGGTAGCCCCTCGGAGAGGCGCTGCGCGCTGAGTTCTCTGTGGCCGAGCAGTGGGGGGGAAGGGCAGGGCGCTGGGGACCCTGGGCCTGCAAGTGCCATCCACTGGCCAGTCCTGGCCAGGGTGGGCAGTGTGGGGCTGAGGACCGCGCCCCACCTCCCCAAAGAGGGAAGGCGAAAAGCGGGCTGGGCTGCTTGGAGCCTGGGAACGCAGCGGGGAGCCGGGCCTGGGGTCTGGAACTTGGAGGCCGAAAGCCGAGCGCACCCAGGCGTCCGGCCGAGTCTTCCAAGCGGCCCCGCAGGCCGCCGCTTTCGGAACCCCCTAGGTCCAGACCACGCAACCGGACGACTCCCAAGGCCAAGGGCGAGGGGAGCCCGGGGCGCCCCCGAGGCAGGGCCTCCAATCCCGGGCGGTGCAGGCCGCCCGCGACGTGCCGGGGCGAGGGGCTGCAGCCGGGGACGCGGGGGTGTGCGCGTGTGTGCGTCTGGGTGGGTAGGGGGCTGGCATCTCGTCGGGCGCGCGGGGTCCCCAGGCGCTCCCCAGCCCCAGCCCCGCGGCCGCCCACTCCCGGGTCCCCCCGTGGCGGCCCAGCGCGGCCGGCCCAGCCCCACTCGGGCCCCGCCCGGCCCCGCCCTCTGCGCGCAGCTCGGGGCAGACCCGCCCGCCCGCGCCGGAGTTACAAGAGCCGCCTCCGCGCGAGGGGGCCCGGCCACTCGGACCAGCTCTGCCGCGGGGACTGCACCGCCCGCCCTGCCGGACCCGCCCCGTCCGACCGGGGCTCGTCGTCTGCAGCCAACGCAGCTCCACGACCTCGGGCCCCGCGCGGGCTATGGCCGTGCCCCGGGGCTGAGCGCGCAGGTAGGCAGGGGTGCAGTCGAGGGGCCGCGATTGCCCGGCACGTCGGAAGGGTGGCGGCGGGGTGGGGGGAGCGAGGGGGACCCCCGGCTGCGGCGGCGGGGCGCGTTGTTGGAGTGCGTGTCGCGCTGCAGACGCCAGGAGCGGGGGCACGCCGGGCGGCCGAGGGGGGCCCCGCGGGTGGGCGACGCGACGCGCCCGGGGAGCCAAGTCCCGCCCGCCCGCAGAGTTGGGGCGCGAATCGGGCGCGCTTGGCGAGTCTCCCCGGAGCGTGCTTGGCTCCCGGTCTCCCCTTCCCGGGCTGGGCGCGGGCGCCGCTGCACCACCGGGGCGCCCCGTTCCCGTCCCACCCTTCCCCGGCTCCCCGGGGCGGTGTCTCCGCGCGCTGCCGCGCCGTGCCCGCCGCCTGTTTACTGCAGAAGTTTCGGAGCGGGGGGCCCCCGGGGCGCCCCCCGAGCCCGGGCCGCGCGCCGTCCCCCCACCCCGCTCCTGCGCGCCGTCCCTTCCCGCGCCCCCCGCGCGCGCGGCGTCCCGAGTCCTCCCGGACCCCACCCAGTTCTGTACCACCGCCGGCCTCGCCCCTGCGCGCTGCCGGCCGCCCCCCTGCGCGCCCCTCCCGCCGCCCCGCCCTCGCCGTGCCCCTCGGCGTCCCGGGGCCCCCCGAAAACTCGTGTCTCCCGTCCCCCCACCCGTGCGCCCGCCGCGGGGCCCGGGAGTCGGGGGGCGCGCCGCCCGGCGGGACGGGGACGCACGGGTGGGCAAACTCCCGGCGGGTGGGGGGAGACTGCCACCCCGCGCGCCGCCCCTTCCCCTCCAGAGGCGGCGCTTCTGCCCCACCGCCCCACTCCCAAACCCGTCCGGGCGCGAGGGCCCCCGCCCCAGCGCCTGGACGGGCGCCAGCAGCCTGAGGAATGTGGTGGTTGGAGCCGGTGACTAATTCAAACCAGAGCTGGGGAGGAGTGGCGAGGGGGCAAAGGGGAGGGGGAAGGGGCTAGGGGTGCGTCGCGGAGGCCGCCGTCGCGCCACGCCGTCGTGGAGCCGCGCTCCGGGCTCCCCTCCATCCCCGGGTGGGCCGGCGCGGCGCGGGTTCGCGCGCCACGGGCGGGGAAGGCCAAAGGGGCGCGGGGTGGTGAGCCCAGCCCGGTTATGTAAGGCCTGCCCCGGGCCGCGAGGGCCTGTGCCGTGCCAGGGCCCTGGATGTGGGGGCGCAGCCCCGCCGTCCGCGGGCCAGGAGGGACACGTGGGACCGGTGCAACGCTGTCCGCCCCCGCGTGTCGTGTCGGGGCATCTCGCTGCGGGGGGACTCTCCCCCCACTCCGCCCCGCGCCAGGTGGGGGATGACCCTGTGTCCGCCGCGCCTAGTGGCCGCGAGAATCTTGTGCGTCCGCACCAGTGCATCTCCTTTCACAGGGTGTGGTTCTGGGGGTGCTCGGGGGTGACCCAGGGACTCTGCAGCGCCTTCAAGTCTCACTACCGCCCCGGCGGTGCCAGGGGAAACGGGGTGCAGAGACCGCAGCTTTTGTGTTGGTCATTGGTTTTGGTTCCCCAGCCTCTGTCTTATGGACCCTCCTTTTCTGACAGGGATATGGTTGATTCTTCTTTTTTTTTCTTTTTCTTTTTGGGTCACACCCTGCGATGCACATAGGTTACTCCTGCCTTATGCACTCAGGAATTACTCTTGGCGGTGCTTAGGGGACCATATAGGATGCTGGGGATCGAACCCAGGTCTGCCACGTGCGAGGCAATCTCCCTCCCCACCCTACTAAGGCTCCCACCCCTGTGGTGGATTTTGGAGGGTGTAGCGTGTCGCCTTGCCGGGCTGCAGCTTAGAGGTTGTTGGAAGGAGAGGTGGAGAGTGTCTCAGCAGGGAGAGACTGCAGGGGTTATTAAGCACTTGCAGACCCCTTTTGGTCCCCAGCATTGGGTTGGGCTCACCCTGCCTAGGAGTGACCCAGCCAGGAGAAAGCCCCGAGCACTGCTGGGTGTGGCCCCCAAACCAACTGATAAAGTTTTAGAGACCTGCTTGGGCCCGGCTTATGGTGGATTGAACTCCATGTTCAATGGCAGCCCCTCCTGTGCCCAGTCCAATGTGGCCCTTCCCGAGTTAACTAAGTCAGGGGCAGAGAGTTGTGGCTTTTCCTTGTTCTCCTGCTCCCCGACCCAGGAGGGAACTGCCCGGGACAGGGTGTGGCCCTGACTTCCTTTCATGAGCTGAGTGGGGCAGCTTCCTTCTCTTCCTTCTCTGGGGATGCTGTGGTGCACCGGGCCAGTCCCCCTAGTAGAAAGAGGGGCAGGAGGGTTGTTCGAGGGACCATGAGGCTTGAGGGTCCTCCGCCTCTGAGTGGGGGCTGGTGAGATCCCGGGGTACTGAGCATGCAGGGACTGGGGCTTGGAGCGTCTTGGAGACCTTTTGTAAAGCCTTGTAAAGGTTTTTTATGGGGCCAGTGGTCACGGGACACCTGGACCCAGAGAAGTCACATGCTGACCAAATGGGGGTCCCCGATAGTGTTTCTGGGGTCTTGGTTTGGTTGACTCCTAGAAATGCTGGCCCCCCCCCCCCACCTCCCCAAACCAGAGACCCCGGCAGGAGATACAGGCCCAGAGCCCACGGGGGACCAGTGACTGTGGACCGGGGGAATCCCTGGATGGAAGAAGTCAGTATGGATTCGTTGAGGGCAGGGAATGGGGTGGGGGCTCCCCTGGAAACCCTCGGAGGAGGTCCCCGGGGCCCCAGCAGGCGAAATTCTTTTGCTCCACTTGGAGTTGGCTGGCTGGTCCTGGCAGAGCACAGGGCCCTGAGCCTGAGGAGCTGGTTTGAGGGGTTGGGGCAAAGCTGTGGAGGTGGAGGGGTGTGTGGGGCGCTGGGTGTGGTCAACACCTCCCTCAGAACTTGGGAACCGCCTGGGGACAACAGAGGCAGACCAGGAGAGCCTGTCCAGCTCCTGTCGGGAGCTCTCCCCACACTCCCAGATACCCCCGTCCCTCGCTCCAGCCGCCTGGCCGTGTGCATGTGTGTGTGTGTGTGTGTGTGTGTGTGTGTGTGTGTGTGTGTGTGTGTGTGCGCGCGCATGCGCAAACACATGGGCCTGTGTGCGAACTGTTGCCCATGGAAGGATCTAGAGCATGCTCTCTGGTGGGCAGTGCCATGGGCTCTGTCTGGGCCACTCTTCCTGGCGTTTGGCCTGTTCTGGGCTCCATCTGACCCTCCGCTGGTCTCCAGGTTTCCCTGGAGGGACCGGGGGGGTCTCGGCAGGAGCGGGTGTCTGAGGGCCTGGGTGGAACCTCCTGTCTTCCTGCCAGCTTCAGGTGCCACCAGGATCCTATCAGGGCTGCTGTGACTTTTGGTTGTTTTATCTTTTGACTTTTGGGTCACGCCCAGTGGTTATTCATGAGTTTACTCCTGACTCTGTGCTCCGGGGTCGCTCCTGGCAGGGCTGGGTAAAGCCACGTGTGGTGCTCGCACATGCCTTCTGCCCATACTATCTCTCCAGCCACCCCCCCCCTCCGCCTGGGTCCTGGTGTCAGTCACTGTCACCGTGAGTGTGTGTCCCTCTGACTGGGCATGGGGTTCTCCTGGACTGTGGGGCCTGGGGCAGGTCGGGCATGGCCAGGAACTCTGCCCTGCTAGAGGCCCTCGGGGCTCAGGGGCTGCCGGGAAGGATGGGAGGGAGCAGTTCCGAGCTGGAGTTGGGGCTTGGAGGCCCGAAAAGGGTGAGGCCAGCCCCAGGCCTTGGCCCAGCAGGCGCTGCACGGAGCTGGCCAGGGAGGGGCATCCTGCCGGGTCCCGGGGGGCCCCAGCGGAGGTTCTAGGGGAAGGGGAAGTGCCTAGAGCTGATCCCGGCTTCGGCTCAGTGTCCTGGCTGGGCTGGGGGCAGTGCTGGGCTGCCGGCGCTGGCCTGCGCCCGGGGCTATACAGCCGCACAGCCTGGCCACTGGGCAGAGAGCGTGGCGGCTCAGAGGTGCCCGGTTCCCTCGGGGCAAGACAGGGCGTTCTGCACCCTCCTTCCTCCTCTTCCTCCTCGTCCATGGGGGTTTCGGTTCCAGGCTTGCCTTGGCTGTGTGGGGAGGTATGGGTGGACTCCCCCCACCCCGCCATCCCCCTACTCCCAGAGAATGTCCTGCTGCTTCCAGGTTGCCTTCTTGGTCAGGGGACCCCGCAAGAAGAGAGAACATGGAGGTCTGGGGCTTAGGGGCTCCCTGGGCACCAGGGCAGAAACTGGGCATGGCCAGGTCTGGAGAAAGGTGGCAGGGCAGAGCCCAGAAAACCACTGGCTGGCAGTGGAGGTGCAGAATTGAGCCCCTCTGGGTGCCTAAGCCTCCAGCCGAAACCCCAGATGTGCATGTAGCCCCCCAGGCCTCTGAGAAAGCGGCCCCTCCTCTAGTGCTTACAGCACCACAGTGTGCAGGGTGGGGGCGGGCTGGAGGGGTGAGGCTGGACAGCTGGGGGGCGGGGACCCACAGATGCTCCCATAGCAGGAGAGTGGGCTGGGCGCTGGGCCTGGGGCCCAGGGGGTCTGGGTTGGAGGCAGATGTGCGGGGTGAAAAAGGAGGGGCCCCTGTGAACAGGGATGGGCTTTCCCATGGCAGGGCCTGGCGCTGCCCGGGCAGGTGTGGTGAGCTGTGAAGCTCTGGGCGGAGACGAGGGAGCAGGGTGTGTGTGTGTACGTGAGCGTGTGTGTGATTTTTGTTAGCGCACATGGTGTGTGTGTGTCCCTGTCTCTGAGCACATACGAGGGGTGTGTGTGTATGTGAGTGTGTGTGTGTGTGATTTTTTTTAGCACACGTGGTGTGTGTGTGTGTGTCCCTGTCTCTGAGCACATACAAGGGGTGTGTGTGTATGTGAGTGTGTGTGTGTGATTTTTGTTAGCGCACATGGTGTGTGTGTGTGTGCCTGTCTCTGAGCACATACGAGGGCTGTGTGTATATGTGAGTGTGTGTGTGCCTGTCTCTGAGCACATACGAGGGCTGTGTGTATATGTGAGTGTGTGTGTGTCATTTTTGTT